TTAAAAGGAAGCTTTACAAAAAGATGCACATTATTACTATATTACAGTCCAGATTAGAAAAGTTAAGGAGTTGTATCAAGATTGGACAGTATGTAAACATAGTTAAGCTACCAAAATGCTGATGTCTGTTTACAGTGCATGTTCAATGTAGTGCATTTGAGATTCAAGTTTTTGCGTTTGCGTTGAATTTCTCAGGGGGTGGGCATCATCTCTTCAAGTCCTCATAGTGTTGGCATCATCCCTATTATAGGTGTTTAATCTGATCGAGTCATACTGTACAATCTCTGGAGGCAAATACATGTACACTTGTTTTATTCTTGTAGGTTTGGTGATTTCTGACATCCAACTTTTTTTGTGTTGGCAATGAATTGTTTTCTCTACAGATTAGGGCTTCAGGAACTCAAGCGCAATTCTTAATTCTCACTTATATTTTGTCCTTATGTTCAATATTTCAGTAAAGAAAATGAAATTCAACCCTGCATTATTTGATTAAGTAATTCAATTCTCAGTTGTTCGCTTCGGCTGTCTCCATTAATCACTGATTGCCATGATTTTGCTCACAAGTGGACTCTCACCTCAAGTGTCTTTTGCGGCAGCGCTGGTGGGCAGCTATAATGACATTTTGTTTATTAATGAGGTGGAAGACATTTTAGTCATGTTATTTGAACGCTCTCATTTACAGTGTGCAGCAGTGACTTAAAGATAGCGAGAAGAACCGTTCACAGAGCTGTTGACCGGCGCCGCTGCCGTCTCAACTCAAGCAGACAATTTATTGTCTAATTACCCCTCAAGAGTGTAATCACAGTCACCTCCTGCAGCTTCAAAAGACCTCCTGGAATACAGCGCGATTACTTAGCGCTTAAAGAGAGCCTTCTGAGAGACTTGCAGGTAAAAGAGGAACAGCTGGTGACAGTTATTTAACAAGTACAGCATGAAGCTTCTGTTGGTCTCTGAACAATATACCTGTCAAATCCTCATCATGCACGCCGCGTTCCTAATCATTAGCTATTTTGAAAATCAGAAGGAAATGATAGGCCGTGTGACAAACAATAGGGATTTTTGGATTGTCCCTTTGGTGACATTTCATATAAGGAAGCATTTTATCGTGTTTCCTGTTTCGTTTCCTTTCTTCTCTATCAGTCTGTTGTCTTTGGTTTTTCAGTCAGTAATGTTTTTTTTTTTTTTTTTTTTGCTTGTGTTTTTGTCTGTCTCTCCATAGGAAAGGAAATGACAGTGAAAGAGATTACTTTGTTTTTTCTAGACTGCAGTGAGGTTACAAATCAAGATTTTGGATCAAGGTGCTGCTTCTAAGACCTCACTTCTTGGAAAAAGATCTCACTGGAAGCCTGTTTTTACAGTAAAAAAACAGATCTCATGTCTTTGAATTCAAAACATACACTCACCGGCCACTTTATTAGGTACCCCTGTCTAGCTGCACATTGACGCAAATTTCTAATCAGCCAATCCCATAACAGCAACTCAATGCATTTAGGCATGTAGACATAGTCAAGGTGATCTGCTGCAGTTCCAACTGAGCATCAGAATGGGGAAAAAGGTGATTTAAGTGACTTTGAATGTGGCGTGGTTATTGGTGTCAGCCAGGCAGGTCTGAGTATTTCAGAAACTGCTGATCTACTGGGATTTTCACGCACAACCATCTCTAGGGTTTACAGAGAATGGTCTGAAAAAGAGAAAATATCCGGAGGTCAGAGGAGAATGGCTAGACTGATTTGAGGGTGATAGAAAGGCAGCAGTAACTCAGATAACCACTCGTTATAACCGAGGTATGAAGAAGAGCATTTCTGAACCACAACACATTCAACCTTTAGGCGAATGGGCTACAGCAGCAGAAGACCACACCGGGTGCCACTCTTGTCAGCTAAGAACAGGAAACTAAGGGTGCATTCACACCTGTGAATTGATTCAGTTGTTCCGAAACAGAGATTACAATTGTTACATTGTTGCTCTTTGCTTTTGGAGCGGTTCGCTTTTACACTGCAAAGTTTCTAAACGGACCAAAAGAGCTAAAACAAGTTACGTGCGAGTAAACTCTCCTTACATTGGTCAGTGTCAGGGTTTATTTTGCAGCGTCCCGCTAAGCTGTCAGGGGAGGTGGTGGTTTGGTGGTGATTCACAAGGTGCGCACGCGCGACGTGTCTGAGGAGAGACGCGGTGGGGAGGGGTGAGAAGGGTGCGCGACGATGCCTATTTGAGGACTGGGAGGGAGACGCAAGATTACCGAGAGATCATCACTCGTTTGCGGGCATCTGGAGACTCGCGAAACTTCCCACCCTACTTATAATTCTCTCTTCATATAGCCGTAAGCCTATTATATATCCATAAAACACTGTGATATAACCGCGTTTGGATCGGATCGCTTTCTCACTGCAATCGAACCGCTCCAGGGTTCGTTTTAAACGAGCCGAGACCACCTCATTCAAGCGATCTCGGAGCGATTACTTTGGTGCGTAACAGAGTGCGATTGTCCTGTTCACATATGCCAAACGAACCGCGCTAATTGGGCAAACGAGATACGTTCCAAAACAAAAGTGTAGGTGTGAAAGCACCCTAAGGCTACAATTCGCACAGGCTCACCAAAGTTGGACAATAGAAGATTGGAAAAAAGTTGCCTGGTCTGATGAGTCTCAATTTCTGCTACGAAATTCAGTTGTGGTTGGGTCCGAATTTGGCATCAACAACATGAAAGCATAGATCCGTCCTGCCATGTATCAACAGTTCAGGCTGTTGGTGGGGGTGTAATGGGGGATATTTTCTTGGCACACTTTGGGCCCATTAGTACCAGTTGAGCATCGTGACAACGTTACCCGAGTATTGTTGCTGACCATGTCCATCCATTTATGACCACTGGTGTCTACTTCCAGCAGAAAAACTCAGCAAGTCATAAAGCGTGAATCATCTCAAACTGGTTTCTTGAACATGACAATGAGTTCACTGTACTCAAATAGCCTCCACAGTCACCAGATCAGTTTGCATTATGGATGTTCAGTCAACAATTCTGCAGCAACTGCGTGATGCTGTCATGACAATACGGACCAAAATATCTGAGGAATATTTCCAGTACATTGATGAATCTTTGCCACAAAGGATTAAATTAGTTCTAAAGGAAAAAGGGGGTTGAACCCAGAACTAATAAAGTGGCTGGTGAGTGTAATTGTACAGTGAACTGTAATATTTAGTCAGAAACTTTCATGACCTTCTGATTAGAACTTTGAACATTTTAAACTGAGCTCAGATTTGCCAAGATTGTCACAAGTCTAAAATCAGATCCCAATATGTTTATCAACTAAATCTTTTATTTATCCAATTTCCCTAGATCAAATTATCTGCATTATTAACATGGATTGTGCATTGTGTAGTATTAAATTTATTTTTCAGAAATTAATATTATCTAAAGGTCTCTTTCAAAATATATATTGTTTATTATATATTTAGCTATCTAAAGAGTTTTAAATTACTTAAATGATTATATTATATTAAAGTGTTTAAAAATTGTAATTAATTTTCCACAGTTGAAACTGTAGATTTTTTATGTTATATTATTCATTCATTCATTGATTTTCTTGTCGGTTTAGTCCCTTTGTTAATTCGGGATCGCCACAGATGAATGAACCGCCAACTTATTCAGAACGTTTTTTACGCAGTGAATGCCCTTCCAGCCGCAACCCATCTCTGGGAAACATTCACACACAAATTCACACACACACTCATACACTACGGACAATTTTAGCTTACCCAATACTCCTGTACCGCATGTCTTTGGACTGTGGGGGAAACCGGAGCACCCGGAGGAAACCCACGCAAAGGCAGGGAGAACATGCAAACTCCATACAGAAACGCAAACTAAGACAAGGTTCGAACCAGCTACCCAGCGACCTTCTTGCTGTGAGGCGACAGCACTACCTACAGCGCCATTATATTATATTATATTGTATTATGTTATATTATATTATATTATATTATATTATATTATATTATATTATATTATATTATATTATATTATATTATATTATATTATATTATATTATATTAATTATATTATATTTTGGTAACAATTTACAATACGTTTTGGATTGTTAATTGCATACTTATCATGGGAAAAAAATTCTAAAATATGTATTAGTATTATTATTTAATGTTAGTCTCAATATTTTATAATACATTATTACATTTGTTAGCATTAGTTTAATATTTAATTTAGCTAATATGAATATGAACATTTAAATGATCTGACATGAATTAAGATCAATATACAGTGGTAGTTCACTCAAAAACAAAAGTTTACTCACTATTTACTCTTCCTCAAGCAAGTTATTTTATTCAGTTGAGCCCAAAAGAAGATATCCATAACAGGAAAAACGCATATTATACGTCCATGGTTACAGGTTTCCAGTTTTCTTCAGAATATATTGTGTTCAACAGAGGAAATAAACTCATAAATCTTTGAAACAAGGGAGGAAATGATTATGGACTCTAGCTAGATCCTTACCATAATGTGTTGTTTGTAAATTACTTTTGTCTATTAAAAGAATATATGTATCATTATATTATTACAATAAATAACATTTTTCAGTAATGAAGATGTATGTATTTTGTAAATTTGATCATATACCCTTTTCTTTTTTTTTGTGTGTGTAATATAATAATTCTATGATCGATAATAGTACACTTACTGTAAGTATTATCTACCCTAAGACTTTCCCGAAGAATATCTGAAGAGCCAGAGTTAATATTTCACTATAGCATAACCAGAAAAAAGTCTCCCGAGCCTTTAAAGGAGCAACATCAGAGCAAGCGCATGTTCCTCTGGGTGTCTATAATCAGTCATCTCTTCATGAACTCATCTCACTGAACCTGCCACACGCTGTACAGCAGACATTACTGTGCCTTGCTGGATCTCCATTGAGCCTCTGCCACTCCCTTTCCTCTCTCCTCCCTTTTCCTCTTCTCTTCCTTCCACATTCTTTTGAAGACTTTTTCTTCCTCTCTCCAGAAAGTCACTTCAGAGAGCTGCTTGTGTACTCGTGTTCTCTCTCTCTCTCTGTGTATCGCTCTCTCTCTTTCTCTCTCTCTCTCCTCCTCCTCCTCTCTCTCTCTCTCTCTCTCTCACTGGTGTGTGTGTGCCTCAGTCGATCTCCGCTGCTCAGTTCATCATGTTGGCTGGAGAATGCTGCGTGCGGCAGCGCTCTCTCTCCTGCCCTGGCGCGGGACGCATCTGTCCCACCCGCCGCAGCTGAGCACCCTCACAGAAGAGGACGAGCCGGAGCGACACAAGCAGCAGGACGAGGACGACGAGGAGGTCTCAGGGGTCCAGCAAGACCCTATGTTCCAACAGACCGCTTACCTGCTGGAGGGTCCCGAGGACATGGGGGTGTCGTCCTGCGGGCTGAAGTCTCCAGATTGGGTCTACGAGTCCTACTACCGAATGAGCCAGCAGCATCCACTCATCGTGTTCCTGTTGCTCATCGTGATGGGAGCGTGCCTGGCACTGCTCGCCGTGTTTTTCGCCTCTGGGCTGGTGAGTCCGTCTACACTTTTGGTACTTTTCTGTGTTTGTTGGAGCATGGTGCTTGTTAAAGGGATAGTTCACCACCCCAAATTAGAAATTGATTTATTTACTATTTATTCCATCAAGTGGTTTTAAAGCTTTGTGAGTTTCTTTTTTCTGTTGAACAGAAGATTAGATATTTTAAAGGAAGCAGACAAACTAATCATTGACTTCTGTACTGTGAAAAAAAAAAAAGATTTTTGGATTTACTCATTTGTTTTAAGGTAAGTGGTTACAGACAATTTGCACAAGCTAAATTTAAACAAACAAATTAAGTTGAGTATTACTATATTTTATTTGTTTGTTTAAATTCAGCCCATATACTGTAAATTAAGAATCTTTTTTTAGTATACTATTGGTTTTTTTCTACTATGGAAGTCAAATGGCACTTTTTAAAATATCTTCTTTTGTGTTCAACAGAAGGAAGAAACTCATAAAGGTTTGTGACGTGATTGATGAGTACATTTCTGTTTTGGATGAACTGTCTGTTTAAGTTAGGAGATCTTGGTTGGTTCTGCTGTAGGGGTATTAAGTTGTGACTCAACAGTTGAATTTAAAATCACAGCTTTACCTCATGTTCTGTAGATTTGGTCATACAGATGAAGTCAGAATTATTAGCAGCCCCTGTTTATTTTTTTCACTAATTTCTGTTTAACAGAGAGATTTTTTTCAACACAATTCTAAACATGATAGTTTTAAAAACTCATCTCTAATAACTAATTTATTTTATCTTTGCCATGATGACAGTAAATAATATTTGATTAGATATTTTCAAGACACTTCGATACAGCTTAAAGTGACATTCAAAGGCTTAACAACTAGGTTAATTTAGTTAACTAGGCAGGTTAGGGTAATTAGGCAAGTTATTGTATAATGATGGTTTGTTCTGTGACTATCGAAAAAAATAGCTTAAAGGGGCTAATAATTTTGACTTTAAAATGTTTTTAAAGCCAAAATAAAACAAGTCTTTCTCCCGAAGATAAAAAATATCAGACCTACTGTGAAAATCTCCTTGCTCAGTTAAACATCATTTAGGAAATATTAAAAAAAACAAAAAAAACAAGGGGGCTTATAAATCTGATTTTAACTGTATATTGTACAATCTATATTATTATATTATATTATATTATATTATATTATATTATATTATATTATATTATATTATATTATATTATATTATATTTATATTATATACAGTGCTCAGCATATTTAAGTACACCCCTCACAAATCTCTCTTTTTAAATTCATATTTTTAATTGGAAGCTATACAATATTATATTTGTGCATTTACATTAGATTAGCCAGTACTGAAGCCGATTCTGGAGATTATCTAACAAAATAACTTACGATAACGCTCCAAAAACTATAGTACACCCAAATGTATATGTTATAGAAAAACATTAAGTAGAAATTAAAAGAATCAAGAGAAGTAAAAAAAATGTTAACGTGTTGAAATTTTTTGGGTTGTTTTTTTTTATATTTTGCTTGAATTTAATTGTATTAAATATTATTTGAAAAAAAAATCTGTTTAATAAATCTGTTTTGTTTAAATGCACCAAAAATACGTTGCCTGTATTCACTGAGAAATGGATCAAAATATAAATTTTTAAAATGGGCTGTACTCAATTATGCTGAGCACTGTATATCATTTTTTAAAATAAAAACCTATCAATTAGTAATTTTAGATCAACATTATTAGCTTTCTTTATAAATTCATATTTTTTTTTCTCAATTGGCTACAGAAAAAAAACTATCTATTGACTTGTCCATAGTTGGCCTAATTAATCTAATAAAGCCTTTAAAGTGCACTTTAAGCAAAATACTAGTATCTTGAGAGAAAAAAAAAGTAAAATATGATGTACTTTTCCCAGAGATGAGTTGCGGCTGGAAGAGCATCCACTGCGTAAAAACATGCTGGATAAGTTGGCGGTTCATTCCGCTGTGGCGACCTCGGATTAATAAGGGGAATAAGCATGAAAATGAAAATGAAAATTATGTACTGTCATTATGGCAAAGACAAAAGAAATTAGTTGATAATATTATTATGTTTAACAACATGTTGAAACAAAAACTTATATTCATTTAACATTACTTGGGAAATGTTTAAACAAAGAATTAAAATTTAACAGAATTTTTTTCAACTATATGTCATGGTTCATTAATAAACTAAACAAGCACATCTTGTGGTGAAGGTCAGAGGACATTGAAATTATTTACAGAGGACAACCTCACTCGTGCAGATAAGCGTCTTTTTTTAACTAGCGTTTCAGCAAAAATCATATTAGGGAGGGATAGACAATTATTCATGTTTTATCATTCTTAGTCCAACCACCAACCAATAAACAGAAAAAGGTCCATCTCAGTATTTACTAAGCATTTGTCTTGTTTCTACAAAATGACAAAGGAATCAATTCAAAAAATTCAGTTGATTAGAAATTCTTTACTTCACTATGTTTATAATGCACAATTATGAGGATATTTGCAGTTGAAAGTCACTGTTTGTTTGGATATCTTTGTCATTTACTCCCCTTCATGTTGCTTTAAGCCAGATTTTGTTTCCCTGTAAAACACAAAGCAAGAGATGCTTTTTTAAAGACTTATGCTTCTGAAAACGAAAACATTGTAAAATCATTTCTAGTCATTTTGTAAAAGATGTAATATAAGTCAATATTTGAGAGATTTCAGTTCTTTTGAATTAGTTTTCAGTTAATAGTTTGAATCAATTCACAAAATGAGTTTGATTCTTATTAATGATTCTTTCAGTTCACCATGGTAAATAGGTCACAAGTCGGAAATATTATTAGTAAATAAGGACTTTCTCGTACCAGGATGTCATATGACTTCTGTGGAAACTTTTGTCCGTCTTTAAGATCAAAAGCTTCAGAATTCATTCATTGTAATGGTATACCTTCAGAACTTCTTCAGAAGAATGACAGTCAGAGGTTTGCGATTCTCAATGGTGAGTAAATGATTCATTTTAGGGTGAACTTCTCCAGAATAATGACAGTCTGAGGTTTAGAATTCCATGAGGGTGAGTAAATGATTCATTTTAGGGTGAACTATCCCTTTAAAATGTTTTTGTTTTGTTCCTATTTTAAGAGGCTAGTCATTTTCCTCTCTCGTCCCACAGTTGTGGTTGTGGCAGCGCTGCAGAAATGGGGTTTTGGTCAATGAGAGATGCTGTGTGTGTGTGTGTGTGTGTGTGTGTGTGTGTGTGTGTGTGTGTGTGTGTGTGTGTGTGTGTGTGTGTGTGTGTGTGTGTGTGTGTGTGTGTGTGGGTCTTTTTCTCTCAGTGGCAGATTGTGTGAATCTCTCTGGTGAAAGAGCCGCTTCTGAGAGCTGCACTTCTGCAACCCTCATTTTCACCTGCTGTTTCACTCGTTCTCTCTCTGACTCTCTTTCTCTCTCACCAGATGCTCAGTTGTCTGTGTTTATGTGTAATGGGTTTGTAGATTATTGCAGTCGCTGCGCTTGGACTGCTCTGTAAACCCTGTTGCCGCAAGGCAATAAAGTAATTTTTTTGGCACAATCTAATGTGGTAAACTTGACCATTTCATTGGAGTCAACTAGATGTCAGAAACCTGTAACTACGATTTGGAACTAAAACCCAAAGTATTTACGCATCAGTCTCTATTAGAGATGTGCAAATCTTATGGGCCAGTCAGAAAGAATCTAAATAAAATATAGATTAGATCGTAAAATAACAACAAATAATAATAATAAAATAAAAACGCAGATTTATGTGGAATGATTTGGAGGTTATATTAACTAATACATAACCGAATAACTTTTAACCTTTTATTTAAGGTGTACAATGCATATTCAAATCCAATGCAAACCATCTATTTGGTAACCAAAGCTATAGTAGGTCTATTATATAGTTACTCAATGAGAGAAAATATTTTATTACAAACCATTGGGCATAAATAATGTAAAGATTTACATATTGTTAAACAACATTACTGAAATTAATCTAAACATTTTATTAATCTATATTTACACACATTTACATAATGAATTGTTTGAATGATGGGCTTAAACGGTGGGAGTTTTCTGTAGGTTTCTATGGTTTGTGTTTAAACTGACCATATTGGATGTATTTTAATAGACAATATGTACACAGAACATACTGTAGTTGGCAGAAGCAGTGACATGCTCATTGTTTGCCTTTTAAAAAACTTCAGATATAATTAAATAAGTAAAATAAAAGATATGTTAAATAAATATGGGAAGACTAAACTTGATCAGTGGATCAAATTATTTGGCAAAAAAGCTATCTTCTGTGGTAACAATTTTTCATTATGGCTGTGAAAAAAAAATATTTGGCTACAATTAATATTGTAATTATTTTATATTATGATTACTTATGGACTTTGGGAAATCAGTTGGATTTATTGAACAACACAGTGAGAGTAAATTCTCCTATAGATCCTATAAAAAATATTCAGATTAGGGATGGGTGATGTGGACAGATACGCATACTGTATCAGTAATAATTATTTTAAAAATCTAGTTATTTAAAAATGTTCTGCTGCATCAATGAAACATCCTCAAATTTGTTCTGTGTGGATAATAACATTATCATTATAGATCTACAATGAAATTGCAAATATTTCCTTTGTGAGGCTTTTAAGACTGATTTATACTTCTGCGTCAAGCAAACATATATGCTCCATGCAGCCTGCGCACAATCGCATAGCCATCGCTGACGCTTACCTCTTAAAAAAATGTAACTACACGTTGCAACGTTGCTAATCGCAAACTCTGTGATTAGTTGGCTTGGTAGTGGTGACAAGCATGGGCAGTGCTGAGAGCTGCGAGTCTGATGGAGTGAGTGTTTACAAGTCATGTAAAGGAGCTTCAGATGGAGACGTTTGAATTGTGTTTAACTTATGATTAAAGTTGTTGCACATGCACTGGTTCCATGGGTCACGGCAATCACACGACGCAGAAGTATAAACCAGACTTTA